TTCCTGGCTCTTGCATGAATTATGTGGTCACGGAGCGCAAGAGCTTGTTAGCGGCCACCATCTCCTCCTTAACTCCACTCTTCCACTTTCAGACACTTTTCAGGGGAACGCCACCAGCAGCTCAGATGCTTCCCCATCTAGCTAGGAAATAGAACTCTCCAGAACAAGGCCCTCTTGTCTGGCTTCTGTCACCAGAGGCAGCAGTGCCAGGAGCAGCCCTCGCCCCCTGGGCCCGCCCCTAAGCAGCCGTTTGCAGCCGCAGGGACCTCCACAGTGGCACCAGCGAGGCATGGCGCCCCCTCAACTGCTGTGCTCGGTGGCCCATCGTCCACGTAAAAGAGGCTTCCTTGGCCCCTTGGGTTGAGCTCAAGGAAACCCACTGATGCCTCAGCCTGAGATTCCCTTCACAGCCCTGCGCGTCCCCTGGGCCACGGGGGACAGGAGGGTCCCTTTGCTCTCCTGCCCTGTGAGAGTGCCCGGGATGCAGCTGGAAGGGGAGTGTGACTCTCCTCGGAATGACATGAGGCTTCTTAAGAGTTGTTGGGCTGGAGCAATAGCACAGCAGGTAGGGCGTTTGCCTTGCATGCGGCCAACCCAGGTTCGATTCCCAGCATCCCTATGGTCCCCTGAGCACCGCCAGGGGTGATTCCTGAGTGCAGAACCAGGAGTAACCCCTGTGCATTGCCAGGTATGACCCAAAAAGCAATAAATAAATAAATAAAATTCAGGAATACTGAATTTATAAAAAAAAAAAAGTTAATTGTTGCATGCCATAGGGAGCCGCCCTGGGAGCCCTGTGGGCCTGGTCCTTCCTCACTGGCCCCTTCACAGAGCTGCTCTAGCCCATCCTCGCCAAGGAGAGACTTTCTCGGGGGCCTCCAAGGGCCGGGAGGACTCCTGGGCTCCTGCCCCCGCAGGAGCGGCTCTAATTGGTTGGAGCCGGGGATGGGCGGGGCTTCATGCACTGTACCTGGAGGAGATGCAAGCGTACACCTGCCGGGTCACCAGCCCCAAGAGGGACGGCGTTGGAGCTGGACCTCTCCTGCCGTCACTGGGGGAGAACCAGGGGACCCGGCCCCCTCCCGCCACTGCTGTGGTCAGTGCCTCTGATAGGATGGATGCCCTGGATCGGAGTTCAGCGGCACCCAGGGTGCACACAGGAGGGGGCAGGGGACCCGGTTTCTGTCTTTTTTCTGTTCTGACCTGGATGCCAGAACAGGAACGTGGCGGGGTTGCCATCACTCCGAGCTCACCAGCTCTGGAGATCCAGGGGGTCCCAGACTTAGCTGCCCCACCGCCCCCCCCCCCTCAATGGTCCCCCAGGGAGTAGGCTTGGTGAGCCCCTTCCCCCTCCAACTGCACCTCCTCCCCCCTCCCTGGAGTCTCCCTCCTTTAAGCACACAGCAGGAGGCCGGCTGCACTGAGCGACTGGAATGGGAGCAGCAGCCCCTGGGGTGGGCGTGGCATTGCCCACTTGTGGGCAGAGCCAGTGCCCAGATACTCAGACATGGTCCCCCCACCACTGCCCTCGGGGGGCTCAGACCCAAGCGGATGAGCAACCCTGCCAGGGTCCCCAGCCCACCCTCCTCCCTCGACACCGACCACTTACAGGGAAGCGGCCTGGCCGGCTGAGCAGAGTGAAGGACTGGAGATGCAGTCTGGGCCAGTGCGGAGGGTGGGGCAGGTGGGATGCGATGGCTTTTTCCGTGAGGTTCTCCCCCACCCCGTGGGTTTCTCCCGGCTGCCTGAGCTCCCCTGTTCTTTGCTTTATATATTCAGAGGATTTTTAGGATGTGCCCACACTAACGTGTATCTTTGCTAGTGACAAGTACAGCTGTCATCTCTCAATCTTTGAATTTTATTGTCACTTTCTTTTCTTTCAGTTTTGGGGTCACACCCACTTGTGCTCAGGGCTGATTTCTGGCTCTGTGCTCTGGGTTTACCCCTGGTGGGACTCAGGGGACCCTCTGGGGTGCCGGAGATCAAAGCCAGGCCTGGCACATGCCAGGCATGCACCTGCCTTCTATACGACCTCCCGTCCTCATGGCCTCTTTCTTCACAGAACTCTGGTGGTTAGAAGTTCTTAATTTTATCTAAAATGTTTTTACATTTCCCCCATGTATTTCACACTGTTGAGGAGTGTTAGGTGCGTCTGCCTGTTCTGTGGCCGTCGGGATTTGCTCTTAGCCACACGTCATCTGGGTCGGCTCTTGGGAAAGGCTGGAGCTTTCTCGCACAATTCCTGAATACCCAGTGATCCCACTCCTGCCTCTATCCTAAGAACATAAAAACAGGGCTGGAGAAATAGCACAGCGAGTAGGGTGTTTGCCTTGCACGTGGCTGACCCGGGTTCGATTCCCAGCATCCCATATGGCCCCCTGAGCACCGCCAGGAGTAACTCCTGAGTGCAGAGCCAGGAGTAGTAACCCCTGTGCATCGCCAGGTGTGACCCAAAAAGAAAAAAAAATGGCACTGTCCTCTCGTTGTTCATCCATTTGCTCAAGCGGGCCCAGTAACGTCTCCATCGTGAGACTTGTTGTTACTGTGTTTGGCATATCGAATACATCACGGGTAGCTTGCCAGGCTTTGCCATGAGGGTGAGATACTCTCAGTAGCTTGCCGGGAGAGGGGCGGAGGAATCAAACTTGGGTTGTCGCCTGCACAGCAAAGCCTGGCAAGCTACCTGTGACGTATTCAATATGCCAAACACAGTAACAGCAAGTCTCAAAGTGGAGACATTACTGGGCCCGCTCTAGAAACACACACACACACACACACACACACACACACACACACACATTCATTGCAAAGACAAGCATACCCCCCTGCTCACAGCAACACTTGGTATAACAGCCAGGGTATGGAAGCAACCCAGATGGCCAGCGACGGGCAAACTATGAGAGGATTGGGCTGCACATGCACTGTGGGCATTATGCAGCTGTAAATAAGGAGGAAATCAGGCGGTCGACTACAGCATGGATGGAACCAGAGGGCATCCGGTTAGAAAAATGAGGCAGTGGGAGAAGGACAAGTACTGGATGACCTCATTCATCTGTGGTGTAGAGAGACAGAACAAGGAGTGGACAGTATCAAATGGTGACCAACCATTGGCCTTGGGTTGCAAAATATGAGATTTCCAAGCAGGGAATGGAGTGGGGCTTGATCAGGGGGATTAGAAGTGACTTAAGGACAGAGGCGGAGGCTCTTGGCCGTTTAGATGGCAGGGAGGTGCCGGGACTATGCATCAATATCATAAATGCTAACTGTTGTACACTGTTACTGTCACTGTCACTGTCCTCCCGTTGTTCATCAATTTGCTCGAGCGGGCCCACTAACGTCTCCATCATGAGACTTGTTGTTACTGTGTTTGGCATATCAAATACGTCACGGGTAGCTTGCCAGGCTCTGCCGTGCGGGCGAGATACTCTCGGTAGCTTGCCAGGCTCTCCGAGAGGGGCCAAGGAATCGAACCCTGCTCGGCCGGGCCAGCTGCGTGCAAGGCAAATGCCCTACCACTGTGCTTTTGCTCCAGCCCACTGTTATGCACACATCACCTAAATTACAAGAAAAGTTACAAAAAGAGGGAAGGAAGGCGGGAAGGAAAGGAGGGAAGAAGAGAAGGGAGGGAGGGAGGGAGGGAGGGAGGGAAGGAGGGAGGGAGGAAGATTGCTCCTGGGTTTCTCGTAAACCCTGCTCTGTGTCTTATATTTAGATCTGTAGTTAGCCTGGAATGGATCTTTGATGTGGCAGACACCAAAATCAAAATTCCATCTTCTCCCAGATCAAACTCCCGTGGCCATCTCGGCTCTGAGATGATGGGTTTGCTCGGGCCCTGCACGCCCACGGCGGTTTCCTTCGCCCTCGCTAGAGAGTTTGCAGGCTAAAGGCGAGCCCCCCTTCGTGCTCTGGCTTGTTCCTGTCTGGGCTGTTGGTTGCATTGCCCCCGAACCTTAGTTCTGGGGAGAGAGAGAGCAGCTGCCTGGCATTCTGGGGCTGGCACGCAGAGTGAGTCGCCTCCCCCGCGGGTCCTGCACAGCCCGAGTACGGCCTGCAGCACCTGCACCACCACACACACCACACTCTAGCCACTGGGACCACCACGGTCCCCAAGAGACAGTTCTCACACCTCTGTGCCCACACACACTTCCCTCTCCCCTCCCATCCTAGCAGCACTCAGTCATCTCCTGGGTGTCCCCTGCATCTTAGCTGAGACACACCTCCAGGAAGCCCCTCTGGGTTGGGTGCTTCCTTTCTTGCACCCTGCACATTGCCCAGGAGGGCCCACTTTTCTGCATGCCTTTAGTTCTCCCCTTTAAACCGGAGCTACCCAAAGCCCCCCAGGGCAGTGAAAGCAGGGCTGGGCCTGTGTTTTCACAGCTGTGTCTACAAGCAGACTGTGGCCAACATTTTCATTTTTGTTTTTGTTTGGGGACCACACTCCTGGCTCTGTGCTCAGGCACCTCGCCTGGTGGCACCTGGGGGAACCTATGTGCTGCTCAGAATAGAGTAGGGATCAGCCCGGTGCAAGATCAGTGCCTTAAACTAGCCGACATGTGTGGGCATGTGTCTGTGTGTACATGCATGTGTGCGTGTGGTATGTGTGTGCTTGCGTGTGTGAGTGTGTGCATGTGTGTGGAGTGTGTACTGCATGTATGTAGTGGGTATGAGTGTGTGTGGTGGGTGTGTGAGTGCGTGTGCATGTGTGTGCATGTGTGTGTATGGTGTACGTGCATGCATGTGAGTGTGTGTGCATGTGTGTGGAGTGTGTACTGCATGTATGTAGTGGGTATGTGTGTGGTGGGTGTGTGAGTGCGTGTGTGGTGTGTGCATGTGTGGTGTGTGGTGTGCGTGAGTGTGTATGCGTGTGTGGTGGTGTGAGTGTACGTGGTGGGTGTGCGTGCATGCATATTTGTGCATGTGGTGTGTGTGCATGTGTACACATGTGTGTCGCTGAGTAACCAAGTGAGTGCTGAGTCGGCCTCTGCTCCTTCCCTCCTCAGCACTATGGCCATCGCCAGGTCATGGCCTTGGCCGTCCCGGTGGCCGTGCGGTTTCTGCAGTGGGGCAGTGGGGAGCTGGTGAGGACCATGTCCAACTCCCTGTCACTGGCAACCATGAGCCAGGCCAAGCTGCTGGAGGAGCACACGGAGGTCATCGTGGGAAGCATCATGCAAGGTGGGCTGCTGCGTGGGCAGGGAGCAGGTCTCAGGGGGCTCCTGGTGGGCTGGTCCCTGGACGGCCCCCTTCACCCCCTCCGTCCGTGGCAGGCTTGTTGAGTGGCGTGGGGCCAGCTGGTGCCACTGGACACACACAGCAGGTCTGGGGGCCTTGTAGGCTGTGTTGCCCACCCGCCCTCCCAAGATGAACCCCCTGAACCGCTCCCCACCATCCTTCTCAAGCCACCCCAGGGCTCGGCCCACCCCCGCACCCACTCCCTGCCTGACCCGCAAACCCCACTGCGCCCACAGAGGCCGCGGGCCCGCCACCCGCTGCAGGGCCAATCCTGGGTCCCCAGGAAGCCACAGTTGGTCTCTGCAAAGGTCACGTGGAGGACAGTGGGGAACCGGCCACACCATTTGGCTGCTCAGGGCCAACCTGGGCTCCTAAGTTGGCAGGAAACAGGCTCTGTTTCATCTCAAACTCTCTCCTAAGAGGGCCCTCCGCTTCCCAGGGCCCTGCCCCCACTCTGGCCACTGTAGGGACACTGCCACGAAGGGTCCTGCACCCAGCACCAGTCAGATGCCCTTTGGGCTCTGTCTGCCCTCAGGCGGTCAGCCCCACCACTGTCCTGGGCCAGCCTGCTCCCGTCCACTGGCCGCGTCCTGGTTGCTCGTTGCTCCTAGAGATTCACTTGGGGCTGGTTTGGGGCCTCACCCAGTGCTGCTCAAGGCTGACTCCTGGCTCTGTGCTCAGGTCTCACTCCTGGCAGTGCTCGGAAGACCATGCAAGGGGCTGGGGATGGAGTCAGGGTTGCAGTGAGGGCAGCTACAGGCAAGGCGAGTGCCCTGAGCGCTGCGCCATGTCTGGCTTCAACTAGTTTCCCATTAGAAATCATTCCCTGAAACCTAGTGACACTGTGGCGCCGTCTCTCCCACGCCCTGGCTGCATATTCGGAATCGATTTTTCAGGGGTCACAAACACTTGTACTCACCGCCCATTTCAGAAACCGCAGACACACTTGCAAGTCACGATTCACGGGGTAAAATCAAACTGGCTATTAGCAGCGGTCCAGGCCTCGGCTCCTGTCTTTGCTGTGTGCGCGGGATTTGAAATGTACTTTCAATAGCAAAGAAATCTTTTGAAATGCAAAACACACTTCCTGAATTCTGTACAAGCATTGAAACAAATGATTGGGTTGATTTGATCTGCACCGGGAGAGTCACGGGCTGGGTTCTGCTGAAGTGGCGACAGCTGCATCTCTGAGGCTGCGAGTCTTGGTGCCCACAGGGCAGCTCAGCTGGATGGTTACTGACCTGAGCCCATCATCCCAGAAGGGACAGCGCTGGGTCTGCAGCGGGCAATGGGCTGGGCTCCCCCGGAAGCCCCCAGTGCCCAGGAACCAGCATTTGGCTTCCTTGTTCTCTGCCTCAAGCTTTCTCCCTATGAGCCCTTCCCTTAACTCCAACATTCTCACCTCCGCTCCTGTGTTTCTCTTCCAGATAATCTCAGTATCACTGTTATTTAGTTTGATGTCAGTTTTGTGGAATCAGATATTGGGACATTAACCTGGACTTAACTCGGTTACCCACCAATGCTCAGAGCTTCACCAAATCATACCTAGTCGACAGTAACAGTAATTCGTTAGTGAGAATAACTATGATGATCACTTGATCACTTGACTTCCAGTTAATCGTCAATTTGCGGGCGCCAGTAATGTCTCCATTTGTCCCTGTCGCGTGCTAGAGTAGCCCAATGGCGTCTGTTCGCTCTAGGAACATGAAGAGCCTCAAACCGATCGTTCATGATCTTGATGAAGAAGTCTGACCATCTGGTAGGTGGGCGGCCACGCGCTCTTTTGACATCCGCGGAATCCAGTCGGTAACAGCTCTAGTCCAGCGGTCGTCTCTGAATCTCATTCCATGACCAGCCCGTCTGATTTTTGACGCCTTGGCAAACGAGACAGTGTCCCTGATTCTTGATCGTCGACTATGATGACTCCACTCTATTTCTGGGATACTGGATTAAGCACTATATCCTCTATGCTGTCTAATCACCATGAGAATTGAGGGATGTTAAGTAGCAGAAACCCCAGGTATAACCATAGAAGAGGCTTGCCGACAATGTTGACAATAGTGACGAGATGATGCTGATGCAGGGGATGTGATAAGGATGCTCAACTTGCCAATGATGTTGAGAATGGTGATGAGAGAGATGGTGCTGATGTGGGGGGTGAGAGGAGGATGGTAATGGGTGATGAAGATGACGAGAATAATGATGTTGATGACCGTGATAATAGAAGAGAAAGAGGAAAACTGATAAGAAAGGGGAGAGGAGGAGGAGGAGGAATGCATGAGGGAGGAGCATTGACAACTCTCCCTAGACCCCCTCCCCGAGAAGGGAGAGAAGGACGTGCGCTTCTGAGCTCAGCCCCTGCGGATGTTTCTCATTCCACCCCCCCACGCAGGGGGCCATGGCCGCTGCTTGCTCCCCAGTGCTCCTTGCATCCAGGAGAGGGAGGCAGGGCCCTGTGTCATGTCGGTGCTTGCCCTGACAAGCGCTCCATGCCCATCTCTGGACCAGCTCATCCCTGCTGGCACGGAACCCAGTCCTGCGACTGCAAAGGGTCCCTGGGGGGCATGCGGGCCACCACCAGCCGTGGCACAGGGCACTGGGAGCCCACACGCACTCTCTGGAATGGACTTGTCTCCAGATTCTTGTCCTCTGCGAGTTTTATGCCCAGGGTAGTCTCCTCTCCAGGTCACTGGTGGGACTCCAGAGCGCCATACAGCTTGACTGGGTCGGAGCCCCAGCACCGCCAAGAGTGACCCTGAGCACTGCTGGGTGTGCACTGCAGGGCAACCTCCAGACCTTATTTCACCTCTCTGATTTCCCAGGCCTCTCCCGCTCTGCCCCAGTTCTAGGCCAGATGGCTCCGGGATGCTCTAAGTGAGCCCCGAGGGCCTTCATTGCTGGGGCTGTCCCCGAGGACAATGGTTCAACAGTCCTGGCTATTGGGGGCTGCTTCTCTTTCACAGCTATTTCTCGGGATATAAATACAGATTCTTCTATTTGAATTGTTCACATGCCAGCTGCCAGTCTCATGTTCCCTGAATCCTCCCTGTGGGAGGGAAACCATAGAAAAATCCCTTCCCTAGAGAAAGCATGGGAAGCTGAGTAGAGTGAGCTAAAGAAAAGGGGCCGAGGGGCAGGGTAGCACAGTGGGTAGAGCACTTTCCAGCAGGTAGCTGACCCTGGTTCAATCCCGGGTCCACGTTGTTCCCTGAGCACTGCCAGGAATGACTCTTGAGTACCACCAGATGTGACCCAAAAAGCAAAAGAAAAAGGAAAGAAATAAAAGGGAAAGTGTGGGGCTGGAGCAATAGCACAGCAGGTAGGGCGTTTGCCTTGCACACAGCCGACCCAGGTTCGATTCCTAGCATCCCATAGGGTCCCCTGAGCACCGCCAGGGGTAATTCCTGAGCACAGAGCCAGGAGTAACTCCTGTGCATCGTCGGGTGTGACCCAAAAAGCAAGTAAATAGAGAAATAAATTTTAAAAAATAAAAGGGAAAGAGGAAGAGATAGAAACAGAGAGAAGGGGGAAGGAAGGAAGGAAGGAAGGAAGGAAGGAAGGAAGGAAGGAAGGAAGTTATCCCTATCCCAAATAAGAATATGCTTTCGAAATAAGAACTGTATTGGGATTTTTAAATCAACTTATATAGACATATGAAACAAAATTGTCCCCATTTACTTTTATAGAATTTGCAATAAATAAATATAATCCTATCGATTTTTTTTATTTTTTAAAAGCAGTACATATTCTAGCTAATTCTTTTTTTTTAATTTTTTAATTTTTATTAGTGAGAGACCATGAGGTACAGTTGTAGACTTACAAATTTTTGTGCTTAGATTTCAATTATACAATGATCAAATACCCATCCCTCCACCAGTGCCCATTTCCCACCACCACGGATCCCAGTATCCCTCCCAACCCCAATCTCCCCCATCCCACCCAGGCTCTGTGGCAGGGCATTCCCTTTTGTTCTCTCTCTCCTTTTGGGTGCTGTGGTTTGCAAAAGAGGCATTGAGTGGCAATCATGTTCGGTCTATAGTCTACTTTCAGCATGTCTTTCCCATCTTGGGAGGATCCTCCCAACACCCTTTATTTGGTGCTCCCTTCTCTATCTGAGCTCCCTTTTCCCCTAGCATGTGTGGCTGGCCTCCAAGCCATGGAGCAAAATTCCTGGTACTAATCTCGGCCACTCTTGGTGTTAGTCTCCTATTTTGTTACTTAATGTTCCCCAGATGAATGCAATCTTTCTATGTCTAACCCTCTCTTTCTGACTCATTTCACTTAACATGATACTTTCCATGTAGTACCACTTGTATGTAAATTTCATGACTTCATCTTTTCTAACAGCTACGTAATACTCCATTGTGTAAATGTACCAAAGTTTCTTTAACCAGTTTTTCGTGTCTGTCTGTGATTCACTTCTATCCTCAGTGCATCGTGGTCTGAAAAGATGGTTGATACTATTTCTATCTTCCTGATTCTGTTGAGATTTGTAATGTGGCCTAGCACATGGTCTATTTTGGAAAATGTTCTGTGTGCACTGGAGAAGAATGTGTATTCTTTCTTTTTGGGGTGTAAGCCCTGTATAGGTCTATAAGCCCTTTCTCTTCTATTTCTTCTTTCAAAGCCAATGATTCCTTGCTGAGTTTTGTTCTTGTTGATCTATCCAGAGGGCTGGAGCGATAGCACAGCGGTAGGGCGTTTGCCTTGCACGCAGCCAACATGGCCAACCTGAGTTCGATTCCTCCACCCCTCTCGGAGAGCCCGGCAAGCTACCGAGAGTATCTCGCCTGCACGGCAGAGCCTGGCAAGCTACCCATGATGTATTCGATATGCCAAACACAGTTAACAACAAAGTCTCCAATGGAGACGTTACTGGGCCCGCTCGAGCAAATCGACGAACAACAGGAGGACAGTGACAGTGACAGTGATCTATCCAGAAGTGATAAGGCGATGTTGAAGTCTCCAACTACTATTGTGTTGCTAGCAATGTCCTCCTTAAAATCTGTTAGCAGTTGTTTTAAGTATTTAGCTGTTCCCTCATTAGGTGCATATACATTTAAGAGTGTGATTTCTTCCTGTTGTACGTATCCCTCGATGAAGACAAAATAGCCTTCGCTGTCCCTTCTAATCTTTTTCAATGTGAAATTAATGTTGTCGGATACTAGTATGGCCACCCCAGCTTTTTTGATGGAGCTGTTTGCTTTGTAGGATTGTTTTCCATCCTTTCACTTTGAGTCTGTGTTTGCTCTGACTGTTGAAATGAGTTTCTTATAGGCAGCAGAATGCTGGGTTCTGTCTCTGTAACCATTTTGCCACTCTGTGTCTCTTAAATGGTGAATTTAGACCGTTGACATTGAGAGAGATTACTGTTATGGGGTTTTGTGTCATCTTTTTGTAAGGGTGTGTTGTGATTGTAGGGTTTTTCTTGTCTTATAGTAGCCCCTTTAGCCCTTGTTTTAGGTTTGGTTTTGAGTCTATGAAGTTCCTGAGCTGCTGCTTATCTAGAAAATAGTGTACCATTACTTCGATTTTGAGTGAGAGTTTAGCCGGACAGAGTATTCTTGTTGAAGCATTCATTTCAGTGAGTTCTTTCACTATATCTCGCCACTGCCTTCGGGCTTAGACGGTTTCCTCTGATAGAACTGCTGTGAATCTAAGGGGTGCTCCTTTGTATGTGATTTCCTTCTTTGACCTTGTCTAGCTAATTCTTGAAGGCCAATCTCACCATATCAACACCAGACAAGGATAATATCAGAAAGGAAAAACTTGCCTATCTTAATGATGAGCAGAAATGCACAAATCACAAGCAAAAACTAACACAATGATTCTAATGTGGCTTAAAATATCAGTTACCGTTTCTGTCTGATTTTGACTCACATCACTCTCCCAGTAGCTTATCATGGAGGGACTATCGTCAACCTCATTTCATCAAATTCATAATGACTTTTGGATTTCTCTCTCAGAAATTTCTGGATACTTTAAAGCCCCAGTTGCAATTCTCCATAGTAAAAGTCTGAAGGGAAAATCTATGCGGTACATAAAAACAACTCAGAAATTCAGTGTTCACCCATGAAACAAAACGTTTGTCAAGTTGGAATTTCAGAGAACATCCTCAAATGAATCCATTTAAAATATGTGAAGCATAAGTATTTGAAAACACAAATATTCCCTTCACAGCAGAGAACCCAGTGAAGACTCCTCTGTCTCCGTTTCCCTTGCTCTAGCTCTCAGCTTAAGTATATAAAAAATACATTATAAAATAATTATAAAGATGAACAAATAATCATTCTTTTTAAGACTATCATCAGTAGTAGAAAATACAAATACTTTCAGGGCTGGAGCGATAGCACAGCGGGTAGGGCGTTTGCCTTGCACGCAGCCAACATGGCCCACCCGGGTTTGATTCCCAGCATCCCATATGGTCCCCCGAACACTGCCAGAAGTAATTCCTGAGAGCATGAGCCAGGAGTAACTCCTGAGCATCGCCGGGTGTGACCCAAAAAGCAAAAAAAAAAAAATACAAATACTTTCTAGTCAATTCTCAGATATAGAGAAGTTTTAGTAAAGTTGGTTAAAGTAGAATCAATTTACAGAAACCAGTTATAAATTGGAAATGTAATATGAAAATAGTTCATGCAGTGAAATACAAAATGATTAGAGAAAATATGTGTGCAGTTTCCAAGAATAAAATAATAGCCCTTTATTAAAGTAACAAAATAGAATATAAATATGTGAAACAGTATACCATGTTCAAGAAGGAGAGAGTGTTGCCAATTTTCTCCAATTAGTCAATTAGTCTATAGAGTCAAAGAAAAATTATTTAATGCAACCCCAAGAGAAATTGCTATGAAAGATAATATCTGACATCTCAAATTCGCAAGTAACCAAGTAGAACAGATAGCCCAGACAACCCTCCGGCAGGATTCAAGGCTGTGGGAAAAGTTCCACCCCAGAACATCGAAGCCACAGAAGCCCAAGCAGTGAGTGGCAGGCAGTGGGCAGTGGGCAGCAGGCAGCGGGGGCGGAGGCTGCCCATCCCGGCTGGCCCTGCCCTGTGGAGGATCTACCAGTGCACATTCCCTGCCTGCAGCTGCCAACACGTGGCGGATCACATGGGCACAGGCAGGATGTAAAGGACAAAAGCCAGACTCTTCGTTTGTGCCATGCAGACTCTTCAGGATTCACAAAGGAAAAAGATCAACAGGCGAGCAGCAGAGGGAACAGCCTTCACTTGCTAAAAGCATCTGCCAGTTTTCAGGAAACCCTTCAATTTTGTAGGATACTGCCAAATGGGCTGGAGTGATAGCACAGCGGTAGGGGGTTTGCCTTGCACATGGCCGGCCGGACCGACCCACGTTTGATTCCTCCATCCCTCTCAGAGAGCCCCGCAAGCTACCGAGAGTATCTTGCCCACATGGCAAAGCTTGGCAAGCTCCTCATGACATATTTGATATGCCAAGCACAGTAACAACAAGTCTCACAATAGAGGCGTTACTGGGCCTGCTCGAGCAAATCGATGAACAACAGGAGGACAGACAGACAGACAGACAAACAGACTGCCAAATGCCTTCTCTGCTGTCTCCTTGAGAGGCGGCTGTCATGAGCGGGAATTAGCCTGCCAGAGGTCATTTCATCTCCTGTGACCTGAGGTGACTGTTCCCCAGGTCCTGCACCATCCCCACACCTGCTCTGTGCCATCTGTGTCCCTAGGAGCATTATAAGCGCTGCCAGGCCTGGGCTCTGAGTCTCAGCCTTGCTCGGTGCAGCAGGACTCACCATAGCTTTCCCACCCGGCAGTGCTCCCATATTTTTCGGAGGCTCCAAAATAAGTTGTTTTATTTCCCCCCTCGCTTTCGGGGGCTACCTGATGGGTTTGCAGGAAACCCTTTCCCAGTTTTGCTTTGGAACTCTGGGCTGTGGTGCACGGCCTTGCCCGGTGAGCCGAGGGTAGGACTGTCCCCTCCTCATCCTCTAGACAGACGTGACAACCAGGATGCCTGAGCTGTCCCTTGCCTGTCCCACTATCCCAGGTACAGGCCAGCCGACCACCTCGCACAGTGTGGAACCAAGTTAAGAGATTTAGAGAAAGAGGTGACGCCTCTGCCTGGCCTGGACCCCTTTCTGACTCACCGAAGCTAACAAACGCTGTCGGTTAGTGATGCTAAACCCACCTCATTTCTCCTCAGTGTGAGCTCAAATTCCGACCACAGCCTGGTGAGCTGTTGCCGAGAGATGGAGTAAGGGAAGGCCACAGTGGGCCGCAGCGCACTCCCTCCCCTGGCCCGTCAAAACAGGCTCCTGGGAATGTTAACATCAAGCTCCTTGTTGTCACACTCTGGAGCGCCCATCCTGTGCCAAGCATGTCTCCAAATATCAAAGGCAACACCTCTAGTCACAGCCTCGCATTAACAATTCATGACAGAGGATGCTGACAGGGAAGGCTTGAAGTTCACCCTGGCACGGGTTCTTGGGAATGGATGTACTAATCAGATACTTGAGAAAACAGGAGACCTTGTTGACAACATCTGAGCTGAATATTAACACACATCAGAAAGCGGTCTGTGCGGTGATGTAACAAAACGGCCCAACTGTGAAGCAGAAACAGCCATGTGCCCTGAGGTTGCACAGAGCACCCCAAAGCCTTCCTCCTCCAGGCCAGGCCCCAGTGCTCCAGCCTCTGCCCTGGCAGCAGAGCGGGGAGAGCAGTACGGGCCAGAGGCTCCTTCCCAGGGGAAGTGGATGGATGGACACAACCTTCTGTGGGGTCGCTCAGATTCCTATTCGGGGGCTTCTTTTGACAAAAAAAAAAAAGCTTTAAAACGTATTCCACTGGGAACAACATGGAGAAACAGCATTTAAGATGTTTCTTATTTCAGACAATCTGTTTTATAAGTAGGAGGCACTCTGGGGTCCAAGACGCCCTGACACCTCCCTCCACAGCTATGCCAGCACCTGCCACTTGTTGACCAAGCGCAGACACAGAGACGAGCCAGCAACCCTGTCCGCAGTGCTGTGGGGTGGGGTGAGGGTTCGAGCGAGGCCAGGCCTCCTCCCCGCTCCAGACCGATCCAGCAGAACCTGAGGGGCAGCTGCCAGGAGACAAGCCATAGCCACCTGTCGAGGACACAAGGGAGGGCTGGACTCTGCAGTCTGTCTCCCGTGGCTGATCGATAGTTCTGCAGACATTTGACCTTAGCCCAGTTCTCAGGAAAGGACCTTGCAAAGTAAAATTTAACAAGGGATGAGATAAAAGTCCGTGACAATGTCTTCGTCATCTGCATCAGCACCTTGCTACGAAGATGAGTGTGGGGGGGGGGAGGGGTGACCATCCGTCCAGGCTCCCCAGGGCAGCAGGCAGCCACTCCACAGCCTCTAGGGCCCCAGACACTGTCTCTGCAAATATGCGCAAACTGGAGGGAGTTTCCTGAGCCAGGAGCTTCAGGTGTTAATGCTATTAGCATCCCAGCAAGCTGGGATTGCTCACACGCACACACACGCATGCACAGGCATGCACTTACACACATAATCACAGAAACATGCACGCACATACTATCGTACACACTTGTAAACAATCACACATGCATACTCATACACATGCACATGTATGCACAAATATGCACACACATAAACACAATCACACACATGCACACCACATACACTCACACACAGACATACACACTCGCCCTTGCACATACAGAAAACACTCACGCATACACGCGCTCACACTTGCACACAGACAGCATTTTCTCTCATCTCTAGAATGCACATGACTCCATCTGCTTCTGTAACATGTCTTTTCCCACATGACTGAGTCTCCCTCTGGGATTACCTTAGGCGCCTTAAGCACCACGCTCTGATAACATAGGTGGCCGCTGACATGGCACCTTTGACTCTGCAGGGGGGCGCCCTTAGCAGGTGCACCGCTTCTGTTCAGACTCTCTCCAGTCTACACATTTCTTACACCAACTCAAGGCACAGAACACGCTCCGGGACTTACCTCTGCCACCTGGAGCTGCACAAGCCAGTGGCCCACACTCCCTCGGGTCTCTGTGACATTGGTGATGCCGTTAAAGCGCAAATAGGACCCCACTGCCAGCCTCATGACACTCACTCCGGATCCAGCCCCCTTTCTGTGATTCACCACAACGGCTAAAGGGACTGGCAGCCCTGGCACGGGTCAGCCCCGAGACTCACAGTCCTGCTGATGTGTCATCACACAGTGTGGTCCCGGGGCTCTTGGGTGCAGGAGGCCAGGGAACAGGACCTTGGGCAGCAGTCGTTGCTTCCCGGGAAGCTGCCATGTTGCTGAAGGATGCCGAGACCAGGAGAGGGAAGTGGCCGGCTCCCGCCACCGCCTGCTCGCTGTCCCCATCTGCGAACCTCAGCGTGGAGCCCTGAGTCCAGGGCTCTGCCCTGTGCTCGCCTAAATGCACCTCCGGGGGTCTAGCATCTGCAGGAGGAGCCAGAGAGGACAGTCAGAAGCTCCCCATTCAGTCACCTAAGGATGGACGTCACATGGCTCTGGGGCTCCGTGGCTCGAGGCCCAGGACAGAGGCTTGCACTTGCCCACAGGGCCATGACCTTGGAAGAGACCAGAGGTCAGCATTTCCTTGAGTTCTTGGACTCGTGGTGGAGCAAACTGAAACCAGGAGGCAGCCGGAGCCAGCCCAGCTCCTGTGGCCCAATTTACACTCAGACCGCAACAGATGAGTAGCTGGTGTGTGAGGGCAGCTGTGTGCAACTAGGGGGCTATGTCAGAAAGTAATTCACTCACTTTTCTGAAAGGAGAGAAAGCGCAGACCTCTTGCAAACCATCTTGTATGTTTTTAACCTGATGAACGCATTTTATAAAATATTTTATTTACAGTAGAGCTTTATAAAAATATTCTCCATAAAATTAATACAAAACCATTTTACAATATAACTTATTTAACTATCTTCTCCCCGCCCCCAAGAAAGTGGCACTGGATCACAACAAATAAACTACACTCGTCTTCGTGACGTCACAGGGTCATGTATAAATACGTTATTGTCCATATTCACATGTACATATATGTATCTACGGCACATACCAGGAACACAGACAGCTGATGTCATTCTGTCATTCTTCCCCTGTAAAAGCATCTCCAGCCAAAATGAAAACTAACAAAGTAAGACAGTTGTCCTCTGTCCACCAGCAAGTCCCTCGCCGGACCACCCACAGACATTCACCAGCAAGCACCATGCCTGTGGATCCAGACCCCAAACCCTTCTGCTGGCCGCTGGCCCCAAGCCAGCCAAGACAAGCGAGGCTCCCTGGCCACTCCCAGCCAGGCCCCTGCACTCAGGCCACGTACTGGGCCCCTCCGTGCAGCTGGATCTCCGTGACGCCCCAGCCCACCACGTTTCCCCGAATGTGGCAGGCCTCAGTGCCCCCAGCCGCATGGATCTCCTCCGGGCTGAGGACCCGGTCCCAGATGTTGAAGCCCGTGAGCCAGCCTGCGAAGGCGAGCCCCCAGTCAGAGCCGCCGCTCCTCTCCTGACCCAGCTGCAGCAGCCCGCCCGCGGGAACCACGTGACCCAGGGCCAGGTCCTCCGCGCTGCCCACCAACGCTCCGTTCACCCACAAGGCCCCCAGCCCCCGAGCCGAGCTCCAGCTGCCACACACGTGGCTCCAGGCGCCGGGGGCCACGTGGATCTCGACCCGAAGCCGGCCCTGCTCCCCACCCACCAGCAGTTCCAGGGCCCCGGCCCCCAAGTAGAGCTGCAGCTCGCGGGGGCTCCTCTGGGTGCTGTAAGAGAAGAGCACGGTTCTGTTGAGCACGTCGGTGGCCTTGACCCACAGGCAGGCACTGAAGGCCTCGAGCTTCAGGGGGACAGCCGGGTGCACGCTGCCGAAGAGCTTCCTGGAGCGCATGGGGAAGAGGATGGCTGTCTCACAGCCTGCCGGTGAGAAACAGAGGGCGGGAGGGAGGGTCAGACTCACCTGCGAGCATCCTCGGGACGGTCGTGAGCCTGTTTATGTGTGAGTACATGTTGGCACTGTATGTGCACGTGCGTGAGTGTGCATGTATGTGAATGCATGTCCTGTTTTACATGCATATCCTGCAAGGCACAGAGCAGGGAAGGGGGGCCATGAGGTCATCAGGACTCCCCTTTGGGCTCCCCTTTCTTTCCAGGGCCTTGTTGTTGGTTTCTTTTTGTAATGCCGAGTCACTGTGAATTCTCTTAGGTGGCACTGCAACTTCCAAGCACTTGGTGACAAAAATATCCACCCCTCCACCCCACCCCCTGGAAGAGTAAAGCGCCAGTGATGTCTAGCAGAGCTGACCCAGGCCCGCACTCAGCCTCTGGCCGTCAGCAGGTAAAGCCCAGCGCGGCTGCTACCAGCTCTACCCGGTCAGCGTCTGTCCACCCGCTCTGCTAAGGGGTTGCTGACTTACGTGCCGGCGTGGCACGTGGGCAAAGGCCCTTTGAAAGACCGTGGCATGGAATCCCACCACCCACCCTGTGCTAGATACTGCTCTACTCTGTCATCTTCGTGCTCGTATCATCCTAGTGACTATTGTGCCCATTTTAGAGTGAGAAAACTAACTCTCAGCGTGCTCGGGCATTTGGTGGTGGAGAGAAGCGAGGAAGTGGTCCCACCCCAGTTGGCTGCAGGCCGCCATCCAGAGCCAGTGCATGCTGGCACTCTGGGAGTGGCCAGAGAGGTTGGGTTTGGCCAGGTATGGCCGGAGGGGCTGGGTTTGGCTGGGCATTACTTCAGCACTGGGGAGCGGACAAGAATTCCGTAGTCTCGAGCTTTCCCTCTAAATGGAAGGTTCTTCCTTTCTGCTCCCATGGTTCAGCTTTCAAGGCTTTTTTCCACCCCATACTTAGAAATCATGGGAACAGGAGCAGCAACACTTTAAGGAAGATTGAGCCTTCCCACGTGTGCTGGAGAATATTTCTGAGAAAGAGCACTTAGAAGGAGACTTTCAAACATCAGTCTGGCCAGAGAGCTAGCTGGGTGGGCTGAGCACACTCTCTGCATGGAAGAGACCCGGGTTTCACCCCTGAGCACTGAGGAGAGTGATCCAGAAAGCCTGAGCTGGGAGCAGCCCCTGCACCGCATAACTGACCTTAGAACAAAGCAAACTGGCGGCCAGAGAGCCTATGGCCTGTGTCCAGCTCCTGGACAGGGGGTCTTTGGGAACTAAAGCAGGTGAGACTTTCTAGACATCTCTGGGGGAAAGGTGCAACAAATAACGGGGTTTGGAAGATCCAGTATTTAAAAACAGTGGCAAGACTCGGGCACTGAACGGCACCTGACACGCTCTGCCATTAGCTTTTCTACAGAATAATTTGAATTCTTGGAGACTGGCAGGGGTGGGGGTAAATCCTTTAAAAAGGTACTTGGTTTTCTTTCCCTGAGTGAAATGGAAAGATGCCTTCCCCCCTGTGTTAATGAAATCAAAGCCCATGGGCCAGACCCCCGTGCAGGGCATGGGAGAATCTGCACTCTCAGGACAGTGCTCACTACTATCTCATTAGGTGGCTTCCTGTTTCAGCACACACACACACACACACACACACACACACACACACACACACACACACACGCCCCGGGCAACCTGGGCTACATTCCAGAGCCCGCCTCCCCTCTGGCCCCACTCTAGCCTCCTCTCTGGCCTCCCCTCCGAGCCTCGGGTGGCCAATACTGGGCTTCACAGGGAGCTGCCTGGGCCGGGTCCTGGGTGTGAGTGAGCAGTGAGTGAGGTGCCTTGTGCCTCTGTAACAAACTCTCTCAAGAAGCAGCCCTTGATGGGTATCTGATCATTGTATCATCAAACCCAAGCACAAAAAAATTGTAAATCTACAACTGTACCTCATGGTGTTTCACTAATAAAAAAAAAATTAAAAAAAAAAAAAGAAGCAGCCCTTAACTCAGGGGTTCTGATTGTGTTATCAGAGACCGATCAAAATTAGAACCAGATTTTTCAGGGCCGCCAGGAGAAGGATTTGGCATCCCGCAGGATCAAAGCTGGCAGGAGACCCACGGAGAGGAATGCCAGCATATGCCCACAAATCGTGGGGTGACCGGGACATTTCGGCCCACTCATCTGCCGAGGAAAGGCAGCCCCAGAGATTGTGTGTCCCAGGGTTTCCCAAGGCTTGGAAAGGACCAAGACCTCATCCCAGAAAGAGCCGTGAGTTCGGGTTGCCTCAGATCACGGACGTGAGGACTTGAGGCTAGACTGGGTATCATGCATTCTCCACCTCTAAGTCCTGGTTTAAGAAAATATGCCCTGTGACACCAAAGGAGCTCCAGAAACTGGGCAAAGTCTGGGGTTCATTTCTGTGACTTGAACATGCCCTGTGTGTGTGTGTGTGTGTGTGTGTGCGCGCGCGCGCGCACACACACACCAGAAGTTTCCCATTTTCCGGCCAGAGCTGTAGCACAGTGGGTAGGGTGTTTGCCTTGCTCTTGACTTACCTGGGTTGTATTCCTCATACCCAGGGCCCAGGGGTAAGCCCTGAGTACCACCAGGTGTGGCCCCAAAAGCAAACAGAAAAGGGCACCGTTCTCTTGGGCTCACAGGAACCCCAAAAGCTGTTTTCCTACCTGGCACACTGAGTAGTGAGCAGAACCCACAAACCGTTATTGTTTTACCAATCCTTGAAAGCTTGCACTCAAGGCTCGGAATCACTCTATTCTCCGTCTTGGAATGTGGTATCTCACACCGCCAGCAGGACTGGCTTTGGTTCTTTGGTAGCATCTAGCTCCACATGACCCCCAGCTCTGGGGGTGTGGTGAGGCCAGTGCCCCGGGACCCTCCCATAAGGTTTACTCACCACCTGGGTCACTCCGCTGCACCCCCACACCCGGGAGTCCCACTGACCCGTCGAGAGGGGTCAGTTTCCAGCCTCCAGCCCCCAGGGAGAGGCAGGGGAGCCGCCGGTCGCAGACCCGGGGTCCCCAGCGGCCGGTTTCCTCCTGGCGGAGTCCGGTTGTGCCTGGAGACGCAGAGGCTCCCGCCCCCGCCCCCGCCCCCAGCACACACACACCCCCACCCCCAGGCCTACAGCGGCGGGGATGGAGGGGCCCTCACCTTCGGGCAGCCTGCGGAGGGCCGCGGAGACCTGCAGCGCGCGGAGGTCGGTGCGTGCGGCCCGCAGCTCGTCGAGCACCGCGCCCAGCGCGCCCGCCGCCTCCAGGCGCGCCAGCCTGCGGCCCGTGTCCCGGCTGGCCTGCAGCAGCTCGGCCAGCGCGCCGGGCAGCGCGGTGTCGGCGGGGCCCAGGTGGCCAGCTAGGCGCGCCAGCTCGGCCCGCAGCCGCGGCAGCTCGGCTCGCGTGACGTGCTCAGTGGCCTGCAGCAGCATGCTCTGGCGCATCTGCGAGTCCTCCAGCATCACGAACAGCTTGTCCCACGCCGACGGCTCCCGGCCGCAGTCGCACGGCGTGGCTGGGCGCAGAGCACAGGGGTCAGCCTCCCACGCCGGCCCCCCCGGGACGGCCCGCAAGGGCCCCTCTGCGGCGTGCACCCCGCGAGCGCCTCGGGGACGGGGACCCCCCGGGACACCGCGCTCGTCTGGCCCCGACGCCCACAGCCCGACCCTTTACGCCCCGGGTGGGAATCGCCCCGGGGGGGACCCGCACCCCCTTCCCAAAGCTTCTCTCTCTTGCAGGACTTGGGCGAGCGGCCGCTTTGCGCCCCGGAACCCGGGGGGAGGCGCGGGACTCACGGGGCGCGCTGGGCGGGAGCCCGTGGTCGATCTCGTTGTCCAGGTCCACGTAGAGCAGCTCGTAGTCGCCGGCGTGGCCGGCCAGCACGGCCAGGGGCAGCGCGCACAGCAGCAGCGCGCCCGGGAGACGCATGACGCCGAGTGCGCGGCGCGCGCCGGCGCCCCCATAAATGCGGGGCGGCCCGGCTGGGGGAGGCGCCGCGGCGTTGCGCAACCCGAGATGAATTGGACGCGGGTCAGAGGGGAACGAGGGGGGACCAGGCTGGCGGCCCCCCGGGATTCGCTGCTGCAACGCGGCTGGCGGGCGCGGGGGAGGGGCGCGCCCCGCGCATCTTCCCGCCGCCGCCCCCTCCCTCTGGCCCCGGAGCTGCGGGAAAGCCCGATTCCAAGATAAACCGACTTTCTACGGATTGGGGGAATCTCGGAGCCAAGTCCACACCGAGCTTCCCGCTGCCAAAGCCTGCTGACGGGTCGACTACTTTTATAAACACATTTCCACGGTGACAAACGACGCGACTGGACTGGTTAAACTGGAAAACGAGAGGGGCGGGGGGGGGGCGCGAAACTGATGTCAAGCATGTTTCTTTCCATAGCCCCCCGCCCCCGGGGTGCAAACGGGATCATTCCGTTTTCCACTGGGCCGAGAGTCCGCGGTCTGACTTTGAAGGTAAATTAGGGTCTGCACAATACCGAAAACGGCGCCAAAACGCCGGGCTCTCGGTTTTGGAAATGAACAAAGGGAAATGGACAAAGGGAAATGAATCCACAGGGGCCAGGCGAGGAGGGGTGCGTTGGTGGGCTGCTATACCTTGGCCCCTGAAGAGCTCAGGGGGGGCTCGCAAGGACAAGTCACCCGCTGTGAGTCCACAGCCCCCCGGAGAGGGGAGAGGGGAGCTGGAGTCCTTCCCAAAGGCTTCCCAGCCCTCCCTGCTGGACATCAGAGATGCTGACCTCTCCCTCCCCGCGCTGAGAGAGTGGGCCGTTTCCAGGGTCCCTCTGTGACTGATCCCTGGGAGGTCGCCCTGAGGTGGTCACTTTGGACCTCCCCAAGTTGAACACTTGGTGTTTCCTGTCTGCTCCAGTGAAGATAAATTCCCCGTGACGCGTTTCAGCTTGGGGGAAGGAGCGCCCCATCCCCTAAGAATCCAGAGGCCAAAAGGCTCTGACGCCCTCCCCCAAACTGAGTTTATTTAACATAGCAGCTAGAAACTAGAAAATTCGTGTGCTTGAAATGAAGGGAAGAGCTTTAAGAGGGGGGTAGGGGAGATGACTCATGGGGGTAGCAGTGCCAAGACACTCGCCAGGACACTCAGGAGCCGTGGGACCCCCACAGCTCATGCCTGCCCGGCCCTGTGCCTACGACCTCTGTTGAAGCAAGAGGAGCTACAAAAAGAAAATTGAAACACAAAGAAAAGTATATTGTCAAAAGAAAAGGACTAGGCTTATTTATTTATTTTTGGTTTGGGCGCCACACCTGACAGTGATCAGGACTGACTCTTGGCTCTGTGCTGGAGCGTCTGTCTCTTGTGGAGGTGCTCAGGGGCCCTTTTGGGGTGCTGGGGGTTGAACCCCAGTCAGCACGTGCAAGGCAAACACCCTTCCCGCTGTTCTACCACCCTGAACCTTAAGTTTTTCTTTCTCTCTTTTTTTTTTGTAAGAACCATATAACTTCTAAGGACATATAACTTCTAAAAGAAGTAGTTGGAATTAAAAATAACACAAAAAATATAAATAAATAACTTCAGGAATGGGTTCAATGGGAGATTGGGCAAAACAGGAGGGAAGATAGATGAACTGGAGGAAAATCACCTGAAACACTCTTCAATTCCACAATTTCATTTATCACTCTAAAGTTCTTTCACTGTTGAGGAAGATGATGGGAATTCTGCTGTTGGTTCAAGGGCGTTCCTAGCTTTTGGGTCGCTGCTGGAGCTGGAACCCGGGACCCCCAGTGCAGACGTGCCACGAAGCCACCACCCAGACCAGAACATTCATGCTCCAAAGGATGACCACCGACCACAAAGGACTGAGCACCAGGGCTGTGGCAACAGTACAGTGCAGTGGGTGTTTGCCTTGCACATGGCTCAGGTTTGATCTCTGGCATCCCATGGGGTCCCTTGAGCATCACCAGGAGTAATTCCTGAGTGCAGAGTAACTCTGAGAATAGTCAGTGTGACTTTAAAAAATAAAAAATAAAAGGGGCTGGAGCGACAGCCCAGCGGGTAGGGTGTTTGCCTTGCACACGGCCGACCGGGTTCGATTCCCAGCATCCCATATGATCCCCCAAGCACCGCCAGGAGTAATTCCTGAGTGCAGAGTCAGGAGTAACCCCTTTGCATTACTGGGTGTGACCCAAAAAGAAAAAAAAAAGAAAATCCAGGAATACAGGGAATTTTTGAAATCATCTCCGGAAGATACAATATTTCATCATACGAGAGATATTTCATAAGGCTGGAATGAGGTGTGCCCCCACAAAAAAATAACTATCTCTGTAATTATTAAAGATAGCAGAGGGTAAAAAAAAACATAGATAATGTCAGATAAATAAAAATCCCAAAATAATACAATGAAATATGTCCCAAATCACTCTATATATGTAAAGTAAATTTTCAGTTCATTTGTCAGGTAGGAATCTTTTTTTCAATCCCCAGCTATATGTCACCTATAAAAATCTGGAAATGTTTGAAGTAAAATTTAAAGAGAGACTCTAGCAAGAAAACACAATTCAAAACAACTCACCTTGATATGTTAATATCCCATCAGAGACTTTCAAGGAAAAAGAGAATAATGCAAATTTAGTTGAAAAACATACTTTCCTGGGAAAATACTACAGAATTGTACAGTAGCATCATTCTTACACTTGTTTGCACACAGACAGACAGACATTCCAAAGATTGACAAAACTATAAAGGGAAAGGAGAAGTCGGTAAATATCACAGTTAGGGAAAGAGCTTCGTAACTGATGATTCTACTATTCTGTTGTAATGGATTACTCAGTACAGAACAATCAAACTATCTGTCATCCAAGGTTTAGTAGGATAAACACAGAGATCATTCAAAGGTTCAGGCACTTGCCTTGCATGAGGCCATCCCTGGCACTGCCTGTGGTCAGCCCCCAGAGCCCTGCCAGGGGTGATCCCCGAGCACAGCTGGGTGTGGCCCAGAGTCCCCTCGGCCCAGAAATCTGGAATAAGATCTCTTCCTCTGAGGTTCTGAAATGAATATTGGAGGCCAGGGCTATAGCTCGGTGCTTTTGTGCCCCTGAGGACCACTGCCCCCCACCCCCCGCCACCATGCCCAATCCTGGCTCAGCATCAGAGCGGCTGTCCTGCAGACACAAGTGGTTACACAAACCCAGACTTTAGAACAACAAAGGGGATGGAGCAAGGATGTTTTTAAATAAAATTTATAAGAAAATTTTTTTGCATGTGGCAACTAAAATATCTCCCTATCATCGAGGTAGGAGCAGACCCTCACCAATTTATACAGTGGAAGGCTGAGGGGTATTATTGAGGTTAGAGCACTTGCCTTGCACGTGGATGACTAGAGTTTGAACCCCAGCATGATACAGCACTATTAGGATTGATTCCTGAGCACATAACTAAGCACATAACTAAGTCCCAAGCACCACTCCAAAGAGACAAAAACAAAAAAGAAAGAAAAAAAAACCCTCAAAAACCCGGTGGGATCATGCAGAGCTTCGAGCTGAGGATGAGTCTTGGAGGAGAGACTTCAACACCAGAGAGACATAACGAATAGCCCGGCGCAATTATTCTATTCCCGTGCATGTAAAGTAGAAAACGTTTATAAAGATGGTAGGTGCCAGCTTGCCAACGTGCCAGCCTCCAGGGAGGAAGCAGAATGCGAGGGAGAGGCATGTTGGCTCATGACAAGACTTGACAAAGCTGGCCGTGCGCACACTGGGCTGGCCATGGGCACAGTGGCTGGCCATGGGCACGCTGGACTGGTCGTGGACACTCCGGGCTGGCATTGGTCTGTTGCCTGCCCTGTCTGCTGACCCGAAGGGCTCTGCCATTCCAAAGAACGTGTTTGCTTGGGACCTGCAGGCCTTCACTGCTTCCTGCTCCAGTTGGGTCCTGGATGGGTTGTTTGTTTTAATCATTTGAATCATTTGATCAGAATTGAGGTCTGGTACTGACTCACCTGAGGCTCTCCCTGCAGGCACCCGTGCCCCTCAGCCTGATCTATCCTCTGCCCAGGTCAGCTACAGCTGGTCCTTCTGCTGAAGGGTCTCTCCGTTCCACCTGTGACTGAATATACCCTGGACAGAGTCCCACCACATGAGACTCCCGGTTCTTAAAGGGGAAGCTCCTCAGAAAAGCTGGCAGAAAACAGTGAGCAGAACCAAGCCACGTCTCCAACGTTATTCCAAAGAAAACCCCGGAGATTCCCAGTGCCTAGTGCTGCATGGATGGAGGACCCAAGTGTGCCTGGCCAGGAAGACTGAATGGGGGAAGCCGTCTCATTCTGCATTATCCCCGGGTGCAGACTCGAAGGCCCGGCCAGTCAAGGCGCACCACCTGGCTTCCCTCTGTGCCCGCCCTGTCATCCTGCAGTGCCCTGCTGTAGAGGGTGACGAATGTGTCATGTCTCCTGCTGTTTACAAGGCCAGAGTGAAAGAGGAAATAGGGGCCAGAAGGCTCTTGTTCAAGAAATTCCTCAAAGGCGCTGCCTCAGAAACGCGCCAGTCCTCGGAGCCTTTGAGGAAAGAGGCCGCACATGACAGAGAGTGATGAGCAGATGGTTCCCGTCTGCATACAGGTCAGTCCCGCAGCACGGAGGGAATGTTTGCTCCCGAGCCCTGCTCGCCCAGTGACCCTTCGTGCACTGGCAGCATCACTGCAGGGAACAAAGGAGCACAGCTCTGGCCGCTTGAAAGCAGGCAGCCGTGGGTGACGCGTTGCCACGGCCGCTCTGCGTGTGCACAGGAGGTGACGGGCGCTGTTTCCGTCTGCAGATTGTCTACACCCGGCCCGGCTCTCAGGAGTGAGGGCATTCCTCTGCACTTGCGGGGAGGGGCTTGGTTTCCTTGAAGGTCTCGCTCGTGGCCCGCCTGGTTTGCACCAAGGCAGTGAAGCAGCAAGCAGTCACGGTTCCGCGTCAGGCATTCCTGAGCAGAAGTGTCTCCCTCGAGGCTGTGCTGTGGTCACTGTCAGATCCCCCT